TCTCTCAACCCAGCATTTGGGTAAAAAAAATAACCCAGATTGTACTGTGGAAGTCATTTCTGTGCTTAAAAGAGATCAAGATTTTTTTTTTTTTATTGCATCTAGAACAGGAAACTTAACATAACAAACTCAGTGTGGCAACACTGAGATGTCCAAATGCAATGGACCATGAAACCGGGCTGTAGATCGTTTCTTGCTTCACCCATCCATTCTATTTAACCCTTTCTATTCAGCCATAGTTTCACAGCAAGAGGCATAGCAGGATTGTGTAAACAGCATGTGTGGGCCATAGAAGGACAGGCAGGGCTATAACTCCCCAGCAGGGAAGAGGGCCATAAACACTACATCAAGACCCAGGACAACCAGTGATCCATCTCCCAGACAACCAGGAACTTGTCCTGTTGAAGATAGTACTCTATTGAGGTAACAGCATTAATAAATTGCATGTGAGAGAAAATATAAAAGAATTCGATGAACAAAGTTTGAACCATATCAAAAATGACTTCGGTATCTTGCCAATCTGAACACAGACATTGTTGAGATCTTCTTGAGATCTCTTTTGAAACTCTAGAGGAGATGTGTGAAATTCGATCAATCTTTTTCTCAGTAGACAAATCCAAGAAGCAGGAGACTAAACTATTTTTTAAGTTTCAGTTTATTACTGGTTTTTGCTAAGGCAAGCATCACTAATACTAGTGTTCATACTTTTTTGCCTGGTGGACAATTTAATCACTATATATATATATATATATATATTAGGGCTGTCAGTTTAAGCGTTAACTTAATTAATTAGTTATGTAAATTAAGTAAGAAAAAAATAACGTGATTAAAATATTTTAAGGCAGTTAACGCACTGGCCCCGCCCCCAGACCTGTACGTCATCTTACATTTCATACAGTGGACTGTTGACAAATATGATGCAGGGCAACAACTCCATAAATGCAGTTATGCCCTAAAATTCAAGATATTTGTGCAAAAATGCCCCTGTATGAGTTTCTGTCTCATATTTATTTCATATGATAAGCGACTATCACACGAACAGCGAGAGCAATATCACACAAGTGCTCAAGAACAAGTGCAAATGTGATTTTATACAACAGTTCAGTAAATAAGTTAATATTGTGCTATATTTTAAACATTTGTGAGTTTTTGTTCAATTTTGCCAACGAAAATATTACCTAAAAGCCACAGCAGAATTGTTGTGCGTCTCTCAGCAACACAGCGGTGTTTAGTTTCTGAATGAATCTGCGTTTTGAACGAATCGTGTGAACCAATGATTCAGTAGTCCATAGAGAGAGCCGTTTAACTGAATTCCTGAGTGAATCAGTCGTTTGAACGAATCAACTCAAAAAGACATTTACCCGCCACCTGCTGGTAGTTTTAGTTTCTTCTTTAGAGTATCATTTATTTATTAAAAAAAGGTATAATTAAAGTGATTAAAGGGATAGTTCAACAAAAATAAATAAACAAATAAATAAATTCTATCATCATTTAGCTACTCACCCTCGTGTTGTTTCAAACCTGAATGACTTACTTTCTTTTGCACAATATAAAAGAAGGTATTTTGATTACTGTTAATAACTAAGCTTTTTTGGTCACTAGTGACTTTTATTTCATGAACAAAAAATACTGAGATGTTTCTCAAATGATCTTCTTTTATAACACTATATAAGGGCCTTGAGTCTCTCAGACCTCAAATAGAACGTGTGGATTAAGTGCAAGTCAGAACACTTTCCTGACTGATGATTTTTTGCTAAACCAATTAAAATTGCATGTTTGTCAGCAGATGTATCTCAGTAATGAAGACATATTTGGCTGCACATTTAGAGATTTCACTGGAATGGAGAGCCTATGAATAAGCTCTTCCCAGTGCCTTGGTCCATTACTGATCAGAGGGAAGGATAAAATGTAATGTAATGAATTGTAAAGATTTTCAACAAATTATGCAGCCACTGTTTTCTGCTAATGTAAATAGAAATTATATAATCAAAGGTTTTTTGCTGTCACACAAATTATTTTTGCTCGCTGTCTCTTGCTGTCTAAAAATAAAAATAATCACTTGACTACGGTCATCCCTCATGTGGCATCTAGTTTTTCACTTTTCAGCCCCAATAGTGGATCAGTAGTTCACAGAGGAATCCAAAGTTTTTTTATCTTTGTCTTTGATGATTCATTTTTTTTTTCAGTAGCTAAAACTTAAAAATGCATCCCATTTTTTTGTGTTTAGATGCATACATTTATTAATGTCAATTTTTTTTATCAGTGTATAACTCCATTTTTACCCAGAATAAAGCACTTAATATTTCTTAGGTGTCTTTAAAATGCATTAAAATTTGTTGTAGATCATTAGACATGATGTTACACTGCATTGAACGCCAGTTTGATTCCAGATTTCTTAGAAGGAACCTTCATACACAAAACAATGGCCCACAAGGCAGTAAGGCAACTGCTTTAGGTTAAAGCACAGCCAGGGTGCATGCACAGGAGACAGATCCTCACGCTTCACACTTGATAAGTTTAAGACATTTGCCCTTGCAAGAACAGTACAGACTGACCCATCCGTAAATGTAGCCAAATTGCATGTGGCTGTAGAAAAATCCTCAAATATCTGGGCAGATATTGCATGTCCACACCAGAGCTGACCACATATCAGTATGGTGGATTAAGAATAATGGGTGTAGAGGACTCAAGTCATAAAGAATTTATTTAATACCTGTGAACTGGGTATTAGCTGTCATGAGAGGAGGAGAGGTGGAGCCAGTGCAGTGAGGGCTACTCTTTTTACAGGATTCCTCAAGGCTGAGAGTTTTGATCTAGTGTACTGTTCAATTCTATTGACATCATTTCTCTTCACACACATACACTAAAGTCTGGTACACTCCCACACACACACACACACACTCACACACACACACATGCTTTTTCTCACACGCTTCCCTTAAGTCAGTGAAGTGCATGTAAAACATTTTACTTCGATAATGTGACGTATATCCAGGTAAAACATGATATTCAATGAGGAAAAAAATATAGGCAAAATTTTGTGATTTTATCCATCATAAAAATATTAAAACAAACATTGTTTTTAATTTGCAATAATGTGCACAGCTAACCCGTTTAAATAAAATCATAAAGTAACTACGATCTAAACTAAAGAAATCAGAAAGTAACTAGGATCCTTTTTTTTTTTTTTGTCCAGTTTGATTTCATCATGCTTTAAAGCATTATCTAAGGGGCCACTGTAATAAAATGACTTCCATTTATTCACCATTTTCCTGGTGAAAATCTATAACCATAACCAGTAATAGATTTATGTTAAATTTGTGATTTTCTCAGAGTGTTTTGACTGGAGGCTTCTCAGGCTGACCAGGCAAGTGGAATGGCGAGACTAAAGAAGTATGGGGCAGCTGTCTCTGTGTACTTTACACCACCGGCACTTTCTCCAACAGCAGAGTAACCATGTTTGTTTACATGTCTTTACATCCCGTCATTTCTAAAGGGGTGGGGAAAGAAAGGCAGATGTGCGTTTCTCATCGGCTCACCTGCGGTGACACCATCAGATCCTCCCCCTAAAACTGAGTTACAATGCCAGTGAATGGCTAGCAGGTGCGGTGATGGTTAAACAGTCAAAAATGGGGGAATCAACTGAATAAAGTGAAGGGAGGGGGGTTGGAGAAGAAGTCGGTCATTTTTTAGCAGCAGCAGCTGTATTTTTTCCGCCAACACCTCAGAAGGAGGAATATATTCTGCACTGAATACTCTGCCTGAAACCACAAGAAGAAAAAGTCATATTCATATTCAAATACAGCTGAAAATGTCTGTGGAAATGCCATCTCTTATCCATATTCATAGTTGGCGCATGCAGCTCTTTGAATCACTCAAGTAACTGCTTTGCTATTCAGTTGAATTTTACCTTATAGACTTAAGCTGAAAGTTATTTGTCAAGGTCTCAGAATAAATAATTAATGTAAATTATAATTTTATAAGCACCTGGTAAGCAGTTTAAAACACAATAAGTATCAGGCATACAGGGGCCTGATATTTGGAGACTTATATAAATGTCAAATTATGAATATCATTGCATTAGATGGCAAAATATCAAAACCACGTGCAGTTTATTGCTAATGAAAAACATTTTACAAAACATTTAAAATGATAAACCAATGGATATAGCCTACAGTTCAAAATGAAGACAAAAAGTATTTGGACACCCTGTGGTTGTCAGATGTTAGCGGAATATGTCCATGATGAACTATACCTGCTTAGAGAAGAACTAATTTACATCCCCTAAATATCACCTTGGGACTAGTAAAAGGATTAGCAAAAATGGTAGCCTAGCCTACAATACAGTTTGTTTCCAGATGTCACTTGCTTTAATATTTGAAATTACCTATACATATAGTTTTACCCCAGAAATGCATGTAAAACGACATATCGACAGTAGATGACAGTTATATAAATTACTAAACGTAGGGACCATCCATCAACAGTCTAGCCTACACTTAGACGGGAAAATGTTTAAATGAAGCACGATGCTCCTGAAAAATGAAATGCTCAGTTTGTAACTATGTTACAAAAACGTCATATCTCCCATCTGATTTGAGTGAACTCGATCGGTCTTCGGGCACCAGCTGCCTGGCTGTCAATTGCCTGACGAATGAGAGTGTTTCACCGACGCGCACGAACTGATATGGGGAAACAGCGGCCCCTAGCGGCGTGCGCTCAAAATGCGTTTAAAAACCTGGCAAAAACGGTGGAAGGACCATCAATACTGCTCTCATGAGAATCAATCTGACATTTTTATCAGAGGCAGGGACAGTGCTTACGATCCCTTAAGAATTGCAGAAAATTGTGGGCATATCCTAATTATGTTAATAGCAAGTCTATTAAAAATGTGATATGAATTATATTAGGAATCCTCAATATCAGAGGGGGTTATCTACTGCACAAGGGAGGCAGGCTGTCAGCTTGTGGGTCTGAGGAGCTGTCACAGAGAGACAACAACGAAAATAAACCAAAACGCGAGATGGTGCAGAGAGAAACAACGGAGAATGTGTAACATGAGTTAGCTGGGACACGAATGATGTTTTTAATGGACCGTTTTTTCGCGTTCAGTGTGGAGGGAGTTCGCGGCGAACAGTTGGAGTAGCCTATTAACGGGAAGATCTCCGAAACACTCCCTATCTGAATCATTTCTGTAGACGAGGACTTTCAGGACTTACAAGAGACAATATTCACTACACTTCTACTTGGAAACATGGAGCATCGGTGGCAATATTTAAAAAAAACATCTTCTATCTTCTAGGAGGGATCAGGGACATCTACTGTGGAATACGATATTAAAACCACCAAGAACGCGAGATCTGAATTGGAGGACTTTGCGATTTTTTTTGTGATTTGGGAAATCGAAGCGAACTTTTTTTTTCGCCCTGTGCATTTTTTCTAAGAAATTTGTTAACACGTTTCAAGATTTCGACATTTTAAAGGAACGTAATACCAAAGTCTCACTACTTTAATACTAAAGCTTCGCTGTGTTCTAGCTTTGTATGATATATTTTCGATATCTTGAAATTGAATTACCTCATTATTTATTAGCTACTATAACGGAAAGTCAACATCGCAATCCAAAGGAGTTCAGAACTCTCTCTCAGACACTCTTTGATACGATTCTTATTCATTTTGGAAAGTTCTCACCTTTTCCAGTGATATTCGAGGCGTAATAGACTAGGTACTCTCCGTTTATTTCTGTTTTTATTTTTCGCGTGGATTATTTTTGCTGCAAATACCTCAGTTTGACTTCGACCTTCAGAAGTAAGTGATGCCTCTGCTTTATCTATAAATACTTTGTTCGTTCATTATTAATGTTTATTTCTCAAATAGCCTACATGTTAGACTGGACTTAAGCGAAGATTTTATACAATGCTTGTAACTGGAATACAGTCCAGCAATATAGAAATTAAATTACATTTATATTACCAACGCAACGACATACCTGCTTTGTTGCAGTTTGTTTTTTATATGCTGCATAAATACAAAATACAGATATATGAAATGCAAACATGATTGTTTATTTTTTCTTTCAAACGAGTTGTTTCAAATCAAATTAGATTCGGATGGCGACTAAAGTCATCAGAAAGCCTGCTATTATCACTAAAATTATGGTTACTAAAATTAATATTAACAAAAATAAAACATTAAATCATGCCAACATTTATTTCTCCATCTTTCTGTAATTATTTGTTTAGTTACGGTTTCTGAAAGGAACACAAAAAATGCAACAAACATGAAGTTCATATTTTGCCAAAACAATCCCAACCTCTGAATTGGAATTTATTAGAGATTATCTAATTAAGTTAGGTCTGGTCTGCCAGAAATTTGCTCACACTGAGCCTTTAATTGTTTCACATTTTCTGAAGAGAAAGAGGTTATATTGTTTAGGCTACTTTAAAACGATATTTATCTGAGAGTATTAATAATAAACAGAATTGAGTAGAAATTACAGCATATTTAAGCACATGAGATGGCTTTAAAAAAAACAGCAGTTTATAGCAGTCACCAGCCTGACAATCTCTGCACCTGTTTGTCTAATAAATGGTTAGTCTATAAGAGCATAAAAATGAAGATGTGATCAGGTGCATTATGATGAATTGTTCATTGCAACCTTACCAGCACACTGATGGATGAAACCAAAATATGCTCTGTTGCAACATCACTTGTCTTAACTGTCCTTCAGTCCAGCCCAGTCAGCATCCGTTGATGTTACTGCCATTGCACTGCAAACCACCACTTTACTCTTCAATTGACCCCAGTAAAGATCAGCTTAATTATGAATGAACAGATGGTAATAGTTCTCCCAACAGCTAAATGTCTAAAGGTGAAACCGCGCTGTGGCCACAAACTATCCTTAAACATTACCACCAAATAGCCCTTATAGCTTTTACAGGCAAATGTCCCTGCTGCATGCACTAAAGCACCTCCACTAAGAGAAAGCCATTCATTAATCTGGAGTGAGTATTCAATTTGCTTTCATGCCATCTTTAGTAGATTTATATAGAAGAATCAGTATGGGTCAAGTCAAATGGCTCTGAGGAGACACTGCTTTCCATTGGTAATGTGTTGATATGGAGAACTTATTTTGATTGCTTTTGCAGCTTCTGTAATGAGGAGGATTTTTGAAGTCAGTCGATGCTCACTGTCTGCACTTAACGAAACTGGGCTGTGTTTCCCAAAAGCATTGTAAGCCTAAATTGATCGTAACTCCATTGGTGACTGGTTCTATGATCAACTTAGGCTTATGAAGCTTTTTGAAAATGCAGCCCAAATCAGAATGCTGGCAAAGCCTAAATACATGTGCTTAAAATATTAAAAACAAACTGCTAGTGTAGAAAATTTACAATAGTTTTTTTTAACCAAAATCCATACACATTTTTTAGTGAAAAACAATAATTTTAAAAGCCATAATGTAAAGTTGACCATGGTTCTGTAATCCTAAAACATTGTAAATATATAAATCACCTTAGATATTACAAAATGAAACTTTATGATTTGCACTCAATGCAAATATAGTTTAGAGAAAAAAAAGTGTATTTCAAACTGTCAGTGCAACACCCAGAACTGATCTGCTGAAAATTTATAAAGGCTCACACTGGTACTATCATGCAGTCGGAGTTTGTCATGTGTATGGTGTCCGTTTCTATGGTTATGGCATATGTCTTAAGTTTACTAGTAAATAGGATGCCCGAGAGTGTGTCCTTGTGGCAGTGCTCTGCAATGGGAGCAGGAACATGGTGTGCACTGGAGGTAATTATTGTAATTTGAGTACGGGTGCAGGTGAAGTTTGCCGTCTCGTAATTAACAAGAGGAGCAGATGGCGGTGGGCGGGAGATGGGTGCAGGCAGACGGCCGGCAAACCAGCAGGGGGAGGGAGGAAGAGAGAACGAGAGAACTAGGGGGTGGGGTCAGGCACTGATCAGTAAGCACAAGCACCTGATCGGCCAGGTAGCCTGTCACCTGCACGAAAGACAACTCACACAACTAACCCCGAGACACGTGGCAGCACTGTACTTAAAATGCCAGTTTATACAAGTATACCTCTATTGGCAAAAAAATCAATACTATGTGAAGAGTTGATCAAATCTATAAATATAAGTTTTTTTTGTAGTTGCACAGTCGGTTGTGCATTTGGTATCCTAAAAAGGGCTTTTGTGTTCATACTGTAGGTACACAGATTCGAATCTGACATGCAACATATCCTGATCCCGTTCACATTGAAGAGAGTGACATAGTGAATAGTGCATGTGTGCACAAAAAAAGGGTTTTTGTGCTCACAGGTACACAGTTTCAAATCCTACAACATGTCCCAACATAGTGGGTAATGTTCTGTGACACAGTGGGTAGTGCATGTGCTTGCCACACACAAAGAACCTTTGTGCTCATGGAGATACAGGTTCGAGTCTGACCTGCGTCATACCCCAATATTATTTAATCTATGTTTTGCTCTTTCCTGTTTTACTTGGATACACTGTAAGTAAAAAAAAACTAAACAACAGAAAAGGTACTGGTAGTTTTACATAACTTTTCGGACATTTCTTTTAATTGTAAAGCACAACATAATGCAAAATGCGTAATTCAAAATACAAGTGAAACACCTGTGAAAAATCATTACCTAAAATTCCTTCTTATTAACAAGGTATATTTTGCTCCCCTTTCATACAGACATTTCTTAGAGTGTATAAATAAAATGCAAAAAAAACATTAATATTTGTATGATAGATTTTCGATTTCTTTAAACTGGATAGCCTTAAGATTTACAATTATGTCAACATTGGACTGTGATTTTGATCAATTCAAATTTAATCAACAAAAATATGATTGAAGTGTACTTGCTATCCAGCCATTCCAGCATCGAGACAGTTGTCAGATCACACACTGATCCTAATTCCTATAGTGCATTAATGCAATTGTGCAGTCACATGAGTCCTGAGCAGGTGAGGACATCTGCAAGCTGTTTTTTTTTTTTCTTCAAAGTTGCATGTATTGAAAGGAATGCCTTCCAGATCCAGACTGGAAAAGTGCATAAAATAAAAAATCCATAACTGCTCAGTGCGCACCACAAAGCCAAATGTGTATGTCAGATATACAGAAAGAGACTAAGGTTATGTTCACACTGCAAGTCTTAGTGCTCAATTCTGATTCTTATTGTTCAGATCCTTTTGTTGTCGTTGTTGTTTGTTTGGCTGTTTACATTATTTTCAAAATGTGGCCAATATCAGATTTGAGTGTGAACTGGTCACAGTCATGAACTGACCTGCATGCCCAAAAGAACAATAACAAAGATGTCACGCAGCATGCTGTCATACAGAAGTAAACATAGAAGCCACTAAAACCAGCATTTACGCATTCATTTATAAACTGATGTGTCGTGGAAGACAGCAATTTGTGCACAAGTAATAAGGAGAGGTAAAGATAAGGAGTAAGAGAGCAAAGTTTTTCTCATATACTTTAATTGTTACAGCTTACTGTCCCTCCAGTGACTACCTTCTCAGCTGTCTTCCATATTCACAGAGTGACCAAAGAACTATTGGTATGTAAAATCTTTGGAGTGACTCCCATCAACACAGAATTGTCACAAATGTCCATCTAGAGTGACGTAAAAGTCACATGAATTCGGATATGACTGTTCAGACTAAGATCGTATTACAAAACATTGGACCTGTATCTGATTTAAGACCACATACGGAAGTGGCCCAAATCAGTTGAAAAGATCAGATTCCATGTGGTTTGTGCTGTTTACACTTCAGTGTGTCTCAATACTTATCAGGGGTAAAGACTCTATAAATCCTTCTGTTATGGCAAATTGTCTCAGCAGTCCATCCGGTTGTCCTACCTTGGCAACCCCGGGCTCCGAGCGGGAGTGCCAGTGAGAGGGAGCAGCAGGGATGGGCAAGGGGGCATTTGCCATGGTTTCAGCCCTGTTTATCCCTTCAAACAGTGGGAAAGACGGCGACGGTGTGGTGAGCACATGTGTTTGACATTACTGTGACATGGTGGCCTCTCTCGGGAGAAGGAGAATGTCAGAGAGCAGAGGAGCCGGCCAGCTTCCAAACATCTGGGGTAACAAAAAACACATTTACGCCACATTGTAGGAGCTGGGAGTTCACTCTGAGAGAGAAACCTCATCACTCTCAAATACACTCACCCTACTCACTCTTTCCTTCTCACAAGTAAAGGTGTTGTCCTATCTTAATGACACAATTGGTCAGATTTATAAAGATAAATGCATGTAAAATGGAGAATGCTGTATATGAGCCAGTGTAGATAGACATTTGCACTGCAACTTATTCTGACCAGTGCCCACGCACTTAGACAGGAAGAGACTGCCTGATTGACATATGAAGTGACCAATGAAAGATTTTTTTTTTTTTTTTGAGCTGTTGAAGAGTGGGTAAATCAGAAATCTTTAAGAGCGAAACTGAATATACCAATGTGTTTGTGATTTTGGTTACTGCCTTGCATATATTTAAAGTGAAGTGACGTGACATGTGGCCAAGTATGGTGACCCATTCTCAGAATTAGTGCTCTGCATTTATCCCATCTTAAGTGCACACACAGCAGTGAACACACACACACCGTGAACACACACCCGGAGCAGTGGGCAGCCATTTTTTTGCTGCGGCGCCCGGGGAGCAGTTGGGGGTTCGGTGCCTTGCTCAAGGGCACCTCACAGTCGTGGTATTGAAGGTGGGAGAGAGCGCTGTACATTCACTCCCCCCACCTACAGTCCCTGCCGGTACGAGACTCGAACCCGCAAC